GTGAACATACTGACAGTATGGCATTGGTGTTACACCATTTCTCTTCCTGAGTGAATTCTCCTTGTTAGGAAAACTCAGTTCCTAATGTAAGCACAGAAAGTGAGATCCTTTGTTAGCACAACTAAGATGAGGACATTGGAGCAGCCAAGATGACCAGGAGAGATGAACAGCTTTCTGTGGTGTGGGAATCTTCCCTGGCCCAACTTCACCTTAGCCAGTTCTGAGCAAAATCAAAAGGGAAGTCACTTTCAACGTTCAGTCACTGGTACTGACCAAAACCATTTAGAAATCATAGAATCATAGAATGCTTAAGGTTGGAAGGGACCTCCAGAGGTCATCTAGTCCAACCACCCTGCACACACAGGGTTACCTAGAGCATGTGGCACAGGGCTGCATCCAAGCATATTTTTAAGATCTCTAGAGAAGGAGATGCCACAATCTGTGGCGTCACCCTGTTCCAGTGCTCTGTCACCCTCACTTTAAGAATTTTTTTCTTAAGTTCCTGTGGAACTTCCGATGCTTCAGTTTGTGGCCATTACTTCTAGTCCTATCGCTGGCCACCACTGAAAAGAGGCCGGTCCCCTCCTCCTCACTGCCTCCCTTGAGGTATTTATACACACTGATCAGGTCGCCCCTCAGCCTTCTCTTCTCCAGGCTGAACAGGCCCAGCTCCCTCAGCCTTTGCTCACAGGGCAGATGTTCCAGGCCCCTGATCATCCTCGTAGCCCTGCGCTGGACTCTCTCCAGCAGCTCCACATCACTCTTGTACTGGGGAGCCCAGAACTGGACACAGTACTCCAGATGTGGCCTCACCAGGTCTGAGTAGAGGGGACGATCACCTCTCTTGACCTGCTGGAGACACTCTTCTTAATGCACCCCAGGATCCCATTGGCTTTCTTGGCCATGAGGGCACCCTGCTGCCTCATGGTCAGCTTGTCATCCACCATGATGCCCAGGTCTCTCTCTGCAGGGCTGCTCTGCAGAAGGTCGGTCCCCAGCCTGTAGTGGTGTCTGAGGTTATTCCTCCCCAAGTGCAGGACCCTGCACTTGTTGAATTTGATGAGGTTTCTCAACGCTGAGTTGTCCAGTCTGTCCAGGTCTCTCTGGATTGCAGTGCAGTCCTCAGTGCTATCAGCTATTCCTCCTGGTTCCGTATCATCAGCAAACTTGCTGAGGGAACACTCCATCCCTTCATCCAGGTCATTAATGAATAAGTTGAATAGGACTGGACCAAGGACTGACCCCTGCTGAGGGCCCACTACAGGCCTCCAACTGGACTCTGCGCCACTGATTACCACTCTCTGAGCTCTGCCATTGAGCCAAATCCTAATCCACCTCACTGTCCACTCATCTATCCCACACTTTTGAAGCCTACTCAGGAGGATGTTGTGAGGGACTGTGCCAAAAGCTTTGCAGAATTCCAGATAGACGACATCCACTGCTCTGCCCTCATCTATCCAGCCAGTCACTCCATCATAGAAGGCCATCAAGCCTGATTTCCCCTTGGTGAATCCATGCTGGCTACTCCTGAGCACCTTCTTCTCCTCCACATGTCTGGAGACAGCAGCCAAGATGAGCTCTTGCAGCCAGGATGACCTGTTAAATACACCCTAATCCTTAGGAAACCTAGCTTTCTTTGCTCTACAGTTCCCTATATATGTGAAATTGAATCACACACATTGGAAACAGCCTGAACTACCAGCACTGGTATCTGCAGCCACAAGAAGCCACTAGGTCAGGGAGTCTGGGAAAAGAAACTGTACCCTAAATCTAGTACTGCTTCTTCTTTTCCTTCAGAATGAGTGATAAGGCAATCATTCAGAAGGGTGAATTATTTCTAGGGTCTTAGATAAAACTCTTTGGGTCAGGCAGTCTCCTGGGCATTGAACATGTTCTTAGCAGAGGGTGAATTTGGTCCTTGAGCCAGACACATTGTTCAAGGACCTGGAGCCAGCATGGCCGCTCTGCAGCTTGTCATCCAGTGTCTGGCCCTGACAGCACAAGATGGAGAAGCTGAACCATCTCTGGGTACCTTTGCTTCAGCTGAAGTAATTTGAGATGTAGCTATAAACGCATAGAAGGAGCAGACAGAAAGGAGGGAAGGGTGTTTTGGAGTTGTGAACTTTATCTATCTGAGGAGATACTCTTGAACATATATCCTAATCCTGTCACTGTATGTTGGGGCTGAGAGGTGCTGGGAAGCCTGGCTCAGTTCTCTTCTGTTTCTCATAACAGATGAGAGCAGATAACTATCTTTGAAATATCTCACTGGAAATGGTGTTCTGAAGCCAGGGTCCACAATCCAAGCCTCAAAGCGCATGTAGATTTACTCCATGCTGTCCCATCTGCAAAGCATCTGCAAGTGCCACCTATGAAGCAAGGGCTTTCAATGGAAGCAAAACTACATGGGGAAACTTTTCCCTGACACTTCCAATAAACCAACTAGTTGAGCAAGAGGCAGGGATCAAGGTTGCAGAGCCACACAACTTATAGTACAGTCCTCATGTCCAGGAAATCTGTCCCATGGTCACATAAAAGCCTGGGTTATTTTTCTCGCAGTAGTTGCTACCTCAGCATCCAAGCAAGTCTGCATGCAGCCTCTGGCTTTCTCCAGCACCTTTCACTCTGAACTAGAGCATGGTGGAGCTCTGGACACAACCCACCTTCCCTAGAGGATTCATCCTCTATCCTAGGGCTCTCCCACTGAGCTGTGCACTCTACAGGCCTTTGCCCGGGGATAGCAACAGCTTACAGGGATCTCTTATTTCTCTGCAAATATCAAGGGAATTGCCTAAGTAGAAGAGAGTTTGCACAGATCTCATCTTGCACATGCTGCTTTCTTTTCTCTTTAAATTAATCCTGAAAGTAGTTTGGGATTTACATCATCAAAACCTGCTTTTTTTTTTTTTTTTTTTTTTTTTTTTT